ATATGGATATTTTTTAGAAGATTTGGGATTTAAAGATGTAAAAATAACCTATAAATGAAAACATGTTGTTTGACGTATTACATAATTATTAATGAAAAAAAAATTGTGACAGTATCAAGCTTTGCTCAAGATACTGTAATTCATCTAAGTTTCTGCTATTTGGGGTTTTTCAGTATTATTTCTGTGATATGTTTAATATTTTCCTACTGCAAATCATATTTTCCTGATGTTAAAGCCTCTGTTGGATTTAATTGATTTATTTTGCTGCTTTTGATATCATCTGTATAAATTCTGTCTTCTATTTGTAATTTTATTGTATGACACCCTGGGAGTTGTTAAGGCATGACGAATAAACCTTAAAATATATCAACACATCTTTTGGTGCACACATAGAATCTGTGCCAAATTTCTGCTCTTGAGATTGAATGCACAGAGGTTGAATACAATTGTGCCATTCACTGGTATGAATTAGGATCGGTGTGGCAGAATGTAGGATAGTAGATATATGATTAGTAGGATCCCTTCCCCTATTTTAACTGTTACATCAGAAGCTGTGGTCTTATTGATACATCGAAATTAGCTCTGGAGGAACTTTTGGAATAGATTTCTGAGACAGGGACTTATCTGGGGAATACTTCACAGTGCATGCTGTAGTTAAGGGGTTTGTTAGCTCTGTAGGATTTTGCTCAGAGCTGAAAGTCAGGAATCGAGCACTTCCTTCTTCTAGTGCAGTAGTTCTTAAACTGTGGGCCGTGGACCACCAGTGAGGTGCGAGGATGAAAATATGGTCCGTGAGCCTCCTTCCTCTTTATTTTATTTTATTTCTGCTTCTTTCATGCCACCTACCACTCCTTCCCTGTTGCTGACCATGGCATATGTTCTGTATCAGAAACTAGAGCTGATGTGGTTTATCCAATGCAATTTTCTGAAGCAGCACCCCAAACCAACTCTAAGGTGGATCAAAAACTGATTCGTAATCCTTTTGGTACTAATGTTGGAGAGTGGTCCCTTGTCAAAGTGGTCCCTGGTCAAAGCAGTCCCTGGTCAAAAAAAGGTTGGGAACCACTGTTATAGTGGATTCATATTCAGGTTTAGTGCTTTCTTCATTTCCATCTTGCTCACACCTATTGGAACCAGGTATATCCACCAAATTAGAACTGATATGAGGAAGGAAAAAAAACGTAGTTTATAACAGTTTATAGTTGCTACTTGTCTTCTGGCAGTAGTATGAATGTACTTTGCACAGTTCCTCTTCCATATACTTTTGCTGTATGGAGTGGAAGAGATGGTTTTAGATCCTGGATTTTAAATCAAACCTGTGCCTTTTTGAGGCAATATCAAGAATTCTGTAATGGTCTTCAGATATGTCCCAATGAGAAATGTTGTCCTTGAATAATGCCTTGACAGCTTTTTATAACCTACTGGGCCCTTCGGTGGATCAAAATTTTGCCTCAAGCATTCTGTCGCCTCTTCCCCTATGTGAAGAAATGTTCTGAACATCATATTCCATTTCACATAGGCCAAACAGCTTTTCCTGTCATCCCTTGGGCCTCTTTTGCTTGGTGCTCTTTCCTTCTTGCATGAGTCTTACTTTGCTTTGGGGAGAAAAGCACAGGAAGGAGAACTGTCACTATGGACTTTCTGCCTTAAATTGAATATTTAGAAAATCCCTCAAGGTTTATTATTCTGAGTATTCATCCTTAATACATAGAAGATACAATGCATTTCTGGTACAGGCACCCAAGGTTATACACCTATTCCTTAAAAGTATATCATTGTGTAAGAAGAGGTGGCATCTGTCAGTCTGGTCTGTGAGTGGTAGATTATTAGGAAAACTTATGGCAAGGAGGTTATTATCTAGTTTTATTTTGGAAAGAGAATGATCTTGAATGCGTTATCCATAGTTTGTATGGATAAACTCATTCTAGAAAAAAAAGATATTTTTTTTCTGATTTACCTTTCCAGTTCTTCAGAGATACTCATTTTCTGGTACAGGTTCACATATATTGCCCATGTCTTTTTCATTTTTGTAGTAATTAATTCTCCCTTGCTATATTAAACACAGGTATTCAGTGCTTACATATTTTTGCCCATTTCCCACCAAGTCCTACTGTGAGTGGAAGGGCAATAGCATTACGGCTTATCAGATATAAACCTTGTAGGGATTTATGGTTTATGGGGGTATCTTTTAAGCAACTGGATGAATTAATGATGTAGAAAAGCCTTTCTAATATGCCCATCTAGGAGATTAAAGTGAAGTTTCTTCTGTATGGAAAGCAGTAAATATTTTCTAAATATGTGAATAAACAACCAAATTCACTATTCAGATGGCAAAATGTTAATATGTTTGGTGTTTAAGTCAAGAAACATTTTGATCTGGATCTCTACACAGGCATACCTTGGTCAACTAAGTAGATGTGTTTCTGGGCATTGCCTTAACAAAAACTTTGGTGCCACATGCAGAAAATAACATTAAAAGAGATAGGTTGCTACACCACAAAACCCATAGCAGTTTGAATATATTTCAACAAACTTTTATTTAGAACTAAAAATAAATGCATGTAAAAGGAAAAATCCAGTTCAGGTCAACATTGCATGAGTAAATAAAACATGTGGAATCTTCTATAGAACATTTTAAGACTTCTTCCAAAATGGATTGAGGGATGAATTTAGTTTACCTGTCCGAAAGGATTCTCCCCTACGAACCATCAAGGTTGTTAAGATTTTTTGGAGGGGCCCTGCTCTCGGTCCCACCACCTTCACAATTGCATCTGGTGGGGACGAGAGACAGGGCCTTCTCGGTGGTGGCCCCTCGGCTGTGGAACTCTCCCGATGGAGATTAGATCTGCCCCTTCCCTCCTGACTTTCAGAAAGCTAGTAAAATCCTGGCTCTGGGACATAGCATTCTCATAATGATTAGTGAGTCAATAACTACTGACCACACTGGCGGGTTGTGATGAATGTGATTTTATCTTGACAATTTGGCTTTTTGTATTTATTTGGTTTGTATTTTAATGTATTATGATGTTATTATATTATTAGTTGAATTGTGTATGGATTTTCTGTTGTTAGCCAGCCTGAGTCCCTCATCAGAGGTTGAGAAGACTGGGTTATAAAAGTTCTAAATAAATAAAATAATAAATAAATGAATGTTTGTTACTTTCACCAGTTAATTTTTATAATAATTTCTATTTTGGTGGCCAAAATAGATCTATGTTGTTTTTCTATGAAGATCTATGTAGATCTATGTTGTTTTTTAAATATAGTAGAGTCTCATTTATCCATCCTTCGCTCATCCAACTTTCTGTATTATCCAACGCAGTCTGCCTCCCGCCCGGATCCACAGCTGTTTCAATACATTCCTATGTTTTGGTGCTAAATTCGTAAATACAGTAATTACTATATAACATCACTGTGTATCAAACTGATTTTTCTGTCGATTTGTTGTAAAACATGATGTTTTGGTGCTTAATTTGTAAAATCGTAATGTAATTTGACGTTTAATGGCTTTTCCTTAATCCCTTTCCTTAATCCAATTCCTCCTTATTATCCAACTTTTTTGCTTATCCAATGTTCTGCCGGCCTGTTTAAGCAAGAGTCTGCAGTATTGGGATAGTTGGTTAGGTTTATCTTCTTTCTCATTCTCTGTATTACTGGTCACACATGTTCAGAAAAGGATTCTAAAGGCACCTGTTTGTTATTTTAAAGGTGCATACATGGGAGAACATAAATTCTGTTTTGCCTTCTCTGTGTTCACTCACTGTCTCATCATCTTCGGAGCTCTTCAACAGTGAATATGCTGTCTTGGAGTTTGGTGGAGTTTCCTTATCTGAGACGCCTTAAACGAACTGGATGACCATCTGTTTGGGAGTGCTTTGATTGTGCATTCCTAAATGGCAGGAGATTGGACTTGATGGCTCTTTTGGTCTCTTCCAATTCTAGGATTCTGTGTTGTGCTCCAAGTGAATATATGTAACTATATATTGTGTTACTGCAACAGTTGCTCTGGTTGACATCAGACAGAAGTACCTACCACTCTGAGATAGATTGGGGTGCACCTTCTGGAGAGGGTCTTCCTGGATGCAAATGTATAAGAACAACAGCACCTTTTGGGCAAAGTGTTATAGTGTCCCATAGCTGGACTTTAAACCTTTTTGGAGGTATCAGATTGCCCTGACCCATTTCAGTCTGGTTTAACACCAGGTGTGGTGCTGGAATTCTCTTATTTACTCTTAACAATCTACATTGAGGGGCAGGGGAATAGATTCTCTTAAGCGCTTCCGTGTTTACCTGGAAAAATATTGAATATTGACTATGGGTGTTTCTGTAGTCTTTGACAGTATATCATTTTGACCTCTTTCCTTATAACTTTAGAAATGTCTTCTGGAACTCTAAATGCATCCAAACTGTATCTCTTTAAATCTTACTGAACATGGCTTACAATATAAAAATGTCATTATCAGTATGGATAATTTTAATGTCATGGTGGTGTGGATGTTCCTATGCAGACTGTATGCCACACTATTATTGGTACAGTGTTTCAACACTGAGATAAAGTGTCTTTAAGATACCTTAAACAAAACATAGGAAAATTTCTTACTCTAAAATTTAGCAGAATGTCATATTCTAGAACAGACATGGGCAAACTTCGGCCCTCCGGGAGTTTTGGACTCCCAACTCTCACAATTCCTAAGAGCTGGTAGGCTTTTAGGAGTTGTGGGAGTTGAACTCCAAAACACCTTGAGGGCTGAAGTTTTCCCAAGCCTATTCTAGAAAGTTGAGTTGCACACAAAATCAATCTTGGCAGCTAGATATGGTCTGGGATAACTGAATGTCTTGCAAATTCCAACTATATCAGTACCAGGAGAATGTGGCTGATCGGGAAATAGTTTTAAAAGTTAAAATTTCACATGAAGTAAGAAAAGCCTGTCACATGATTATAAAAGTACTTTTTGCTCTTTTCCCTCCCCTTTCTTGTGCCATTCCCTTCTTATTTATAGCTGGAGTGTTTTCATGGATGTAGTGCAGTGATGCTGACAAAAGGAACAGCAGCTTCAAAACAATGCCAATGAATGAGTAGAAGAATCACTTGCGGTAAGAATGTAAACTTTGAAGCAGCAAATTATTCAAAACACAGTTTTCATTAAAAAAAAGTGTGTTTGTAGCTGTATACCGTAGATTGCACCAGTATCTCAAGGTTTGTGTTTGTGGTTAGCCTTGAATTTTTATTTCTTGAATGAAATGAGGGAGGGGCGACAATTTCAAGTTGGCTAAGGCATTGCAGAGAGGTTTTCGAAGGAGAAACAACATCCTCAGCAGTGTTTAAAGCTCTGCTTCTTGGATGTAGACAAGGCTATGATAAAATTAAGTACTCTAAAAGCATTTTTGTGGTTGCTTTATTTTACTACCTAACGGTGGTCATTGTTATCACTACCAAATAGTCAGATATACACATTTGGGGGGGGGGGGGAATGCAAAGTGCTTTGCACGTTGTCATGCATACCTACTTTAGAAGTCTTTTTCATTGTTCATTATTTCTTGCTGGAATCTTATTTATTACATAGAAACATGTGTATGTGCAAGTAAGAATCCTCCTGTGGATGTGAGATCTGTTATACATTGGAGGGGGAAAATGCTGATAAACTTGTATTATAGCCTAAACTTCAGTGAAGTTGCTTTATTGTTTATGGATAAAAACATTAATTCTTCCCAGGTGGATTAGCCTGTTGCAGGGAAAGCATACAAGTATCTTGACACACCTTAAAGAATAACAAAATTATTTTTTCTGTAAAAGTTTATGTTTACTTTAAGATTTGTGAATATTCAACCATCTATAGTGAATCATATGTTTGAAAGATTCACCATGGTAAAAATTAATTTAAAAATTGAGCTGCATCAAGTGTACCTGGCTACATGACAAGAGACTGTTGGTATGAATCTAGACTGCTTCTCTCATGTTCTGTCATTGTCGAGTTGAGTATAGATGTAAATGAAGAAAAGTACCATTTTTAGTTAGAGAAATGAGCATTTCTTTACTGCCTAGTAGACTTTACATAGAAGGAGGTGCAGTTGATAGGAGAAGAGCTAAGTTTGTTGAGCAAGAGTACTTGGTGGATAGCTGTTCACATAACTTTCACATTTCCGATTAAGACACTGAGTGAATATTTGTGTAATTCTTCAATAAAGTGAGACCAAGTAACTCAGCACTTTCAGGTTCTTACACTCACTGAAAAGTATCTCAAACTATGCCTTAAATATACAAAAGCTGTGAATATGTACACTAGCTTAATTAATTCATGGTAGCTTTATATGTTTTCAGAGTAAAATAAAGTGGAGTCTATTTTGTTGACTGTAAAGTTTAGCACAGCTGGTAAATCATCAGCAATTATAAGATCTATCAACCAAAAGGTTGCAAGCTTGAAGCCCCGGGTTGGCATGAGCTGCCAACTGTTAGCCTAGCTCATTGTTTGCCTAAGCAATTTGAAAACAGTTCTAGCTGTGATTAGAAAAATTAGATACCGCTAAAAGCGGGGGAGGTGTTTTACAATGCCATAAAGAAAGAAGATCAGAAAATGCTGGGTGACCAAAAGGAAGAAGGAAGTCCTAACGGCTCTTCGTCATAGAGGATAGAGCAACAGCACCCCCTGGTCTCGAGCCCAACCTTCCATGGCACCTCCTTCTGTTCTGTCTGTCTGTGTATTGTTTATACAAAGCGGCATTGAATGTTTGCCGTGTATGTATTGTGATCCTGAGTTCCCTTTGGGGTGTGAAGGGCGGAATATAAATAAAGTATTATTATTAATAATATTAATATTATTATATGGCTTGAGTCAAGACTTATCAGAAAGATGAGGTATTTTACATGAACTTGAACTTGCATGATTTTTGGGTTCTTTTGGGGAAGGCCTTATGTTAGCTTTGTCACCATCCAAAACATTGTGAAGATTAGTGAGAGGACCTTCCAGACTGAAACTACCTCCCACAGGAGGTTAGACTGCCCCTTCTTAGTTTGTTTTTGTTTTGTTTTGCTATCCGATGAAGACACTTTGATTTTAAAAGAGCAAGATCTTTATTGGCCTACTGAAATGCATAGTGCCAGCTTTTGAAGCTCCACTGACTTCTTCATCAGGCAAACGATGTTAAAAATTATGCAGGAGAAGAAAAATGGTAATGTTAGAGTCACAGGCCTACATTTCGTATCAGGTATTGTTTCTGTTGTAGTTCACTTGTTCTGGATTCAGGCAGAAACCACTCCCTTTCTTTCTTGTCCATGTGGGAACAAAGACAAAGGACAATAAAATTTGTATTAGCAGCAATAAAGTAGCCTCTCTTCTGTGAAGCCAAGTCACAGGCTAATTTTGTAGACAGAAAACACTGAATTTCTCAGGAAGGCAGTGTCTTGCTACTTCCAGAAACACTTCTAGATGTTCTATTAGAGAAATCTGTCAAATTATAATCCAAATTAAAACGTTTAATTTTGTTATAGGTAGAAACCTCAGAGAATTCAGTCCCAGTCCTTATCTCCCTCTTGTTTAGAATTCCCATTGCAGCTACATTTAGTACAGTATAACCTCTGTATCTGCAGTTTCACCTACCTACATTTGACAAATTTTTACCTACCCACACCTATCCGCATTTGACAAATCTAGGAGTTTTCTAGATTCTCTGTAACTTCAAATCTAGGAACCATATTCAGGGATAGCCATGTTTGCCACGGAGCAAAATTCAACAAAATTCAAAAACCATAAAAGAGTGTTATCTGCAATACATTTATTAGCCAACCTGTTGTTGCAGTATTTTATATATTTCAGATGAAGAATAAAGTTATCACTTTTGTGGATTTTGGATTTTATTGCACTTTGCTACATGGCCAAGATGTGTATCCCTGAATATGTTCTTTCATTTTAGACTGACTCTTCACTTTTCAGTGGTTTCTGTAGATATGCCTTTCAGTGGGCTTTGTTGAGGAATGCTGTATTCCTGTCCTCATTACCATTTTTAAATGCTCTTAAACTGTTCTATATTAATGTTATTTTTATATAATGCTTTGGTTACTTGCTGTTTAATTATCTTTACTATTTTGATAAGCTTTTAACCATGTTTTGTTTTAATATATATTGTCTATTCCATTGGCCCCATATTGGAAAAGCGATGGACATTAAATTAATCAATTGATAGATCAGACAGAGATTTATTTGGATTGCTGTCAGACAATGTGACACTTTGTCTGTAGATCATGGAGGTATCAATTTAGAGAGCCTGATAAGTTAGGAATTCCGGTGTTTTTAATTTTTGCGATGCTTTTAATTATTATGTTCTTGTTACCATGGGTGTAGCTGTGGATGATTCATTATGTTATTTCTAACTAACTTGTTCCTTCAACACAATTCTTTTTTAGGGACATTATTAGAATGCATTTTTTAAAAGAACTCTAAATACAGTAACTATGCACAGCATCTCTATCTTCTTGCTGATATTAAACATTGAAGTATGTCATTTATATAATAAGTCTGTTCCATCGAGATCCAAGAATTACATTATCGCAACTTGTGAAAATGCTGTTCTGTCCCCAAGACTCAATCTAAGTTGCACATTTTCAATCTAAGACTCAATCTAAAATAACCATTTTCTTTTCTACAAGATAGCTACCTTCTTTACTATATCAGCACTGTCTTATAATTGTTCCTCTACAGTTTCTAGTTTTTTATGATCTCTGAAGAGTGGTTGGTCTTTTAGTATTCAGTTCATTCATTATGTCTGGACAAAAAAAAATCTAGCTCTGTCTTATTACCTTGAACATTGTGGTCTGAAAGGGCTTTCTATATATATCTTTGAAAACAGGGGAAACTCTCTATGTGATTGCTATGCCTGAACAGGGTCTATGATTTTGTAATCCAGAACTATTGAAGGACATGAACTATTTGGATTTTTTGTTTGAAAGTAGTCTTCAGAGCTAAAACAAATCCTAGATTATATCAGTTGATGGAAAATAAGTCTTATCAACTGAAATTCATTTTGATCTCCAAGTGAATCCTTGAACATCTTGTTTGAAAACAAATAATGTATATGGATTCATTTTAACACATGAGTCTGCTCACTTAAGTGAATAAGTGAAATTATATTTCAAACTATAAGGGTTTTATCCAAACAAACCTTTTAATGTGACTTAGGGTAATTTAAATCTGTAAACTTGGAAAGAGAAAATTATTCTAGCATACCTATAAAATATATAACCAATAAAATATATAAACAATTTTACTAATTTCTCATTCAAATTTTGTAAGCAGTTTGGTTTAGCAGACTTCATGTCACTCTAGGACTAGAGTCATAGGTATAAATGCTTGGTTTACCATGAAGTTCATTGTGCAACAGGTATTCCTGTCATAGTGCTAAATTATGGAGGGACGGGGGTGTACTGCCTAAACTCACTGAAGAATGTAATTGTAATAGTAAATAGAATAATTAGGAAGAACTTCCTAACTATTAGAGCTGTTTAGCAGTGGATTTCTCTGCCCTGGATTGTGGTGGAGCTCCTTCTTTGAAGGCTTTTAAACAGAGGATGGATAGCCGTCTGAATGTGATTTTCCTGCTTCTTGGCAAGTTGTTGGATTGGATGGCCCACGAGGTCTCTTCCAACTCTGTGATTCTATTATTCTAAAATGTATTTATATAAGTGAGAGCATTGGATGGACTTCTAACAGTGAAAACATTGATCGTTTTTGCTCAGTATTGACTGTACCAGTGTTTCTCAAATGCTGCTCCTCCAGGTGTTTTGGACTTCAGCTCCCAGAAATGGCAGCCATCTTCCCAGTTGTTAGGAATTGTGAGAGCTGAAGTCCAAAACATCTGGAGGAGCACAGTTTGAGAAACTCTGGTCTACACTGTATGGCGGTATTGTTGTATAGTTTCAGACCAGAGTATTTCCCACCCTACCAAGCATATGCTTTTGAGGAAGAAGAAAACAAAATATTTATTTATCACTGACTAGTCTTAGGTATACAGTCAATATACTGGTGGAAGTAAATAGGCAGTACGTTGATGTAAGTTTAACATAGAAGAAATTGAACAGTGTTATTGCTGTTGATTTACAGTAA